TATATATATATATATGAGAGAGAGAGAGAGAGAGAGAGGTTCACCCATTTATTCTGCTGCATATTTTTGCTGCAGAAATTCAGGTTCCTTTCCCAGTCAAGAGTCCTGCTGCAGGTTTCCACCAATACTGTCCTGATATGTCAGTGCAACTTTCAGGACTGATTCCAGTGTTAGACCCTGATACTCACCAAACTCTTTATGTAACAGCTGTGGTACACATTCTTCAAATCCTTTTCCACATGTGGGCATGCTTCGTCCACATGGGTCAGTAGCACCATTAGAGGGACATCTAAAAACATCAACAGAAATGTCTCACTAGTCACATTTATGTTTTATGGAATAAGCCGTCATCAGGTGAAGAATTTCTTGAACAAACTCCTAGTAGTCACCACACTGATGTTTGTCTTACTCAGGAGCACCTGCCAGCATCACTCTGCCCTTCCTGAATCCACATGTGCTCAACTCTGCTCATGTCTGTGTCCCAAAATTCAGTCCCAACCCTTAAGTCGGCTCTATGTGAAACAAAGCCCTCGAGTTTATTACAGATGGAGCAACTCTGTGTGGAGGAGCATCCAGGAGCTCCTTCAGTTACAGCATGAGAACTGTTTCTGCAAAAGCTACGGAAAACATTGTTTGCCAAGTTCCATTCCAGGAAAGTGAACTTGTACAGTAAAGGTTGAAGTTGAATATCCAAATACATTATTATGAAGTCATTACTTCACAGGGGTGAGCTTACTCTTATACTGAATGATTATTCAGCATTATTATTGGTTCAGGAAATGCAGGTGATAAAACACATTAGAACACTAAAACAAAATAGTTGTTTATGAATTTTGACCTCCAGACCGAATCGCCCCACAACACACACTCAGTCACAGGTGTCACCTCCCTCCCAGTTCTCCACACTCACTGACCTGCCAAGTCAGTTCTCTTTCTGATTTCATCAATTTTATTCTTCATTCCTTGGTTCAGAATTGCAACTGTGTTGGCATCAATCACACACACCACACAGTGGATCCTGTCTTTAAGAGCCATTGTGCTGCACGCCTGACAGTCATCAGCTTTCATTGGCGTTACAGGGTTGAACTAAATAACAAAATGGTTTGAATGACATAGAGACATGCATTGAGATAATAAACTCTAGCAATATGCAATGTGAGTCCATTCATATGACATTTATGTAACAACAGTACATTATCTATGGAAAAAAATCAGTGAATGAGATTTAATTTCCTGTATTCATATAGCAGTTGTTTTTGAGGTGTGGTTACATACACAGTTCTTACCTGGTACTTGTCTGGTACGTAGCCCTTCAGGATGCTCACAATATCTTCAATTTTCACCCCTCCACCCTCCCTTGCTTCCAGTCCCATGGTGTCACACAGTCGGAATGCCAGAGGCTGTCCACCTCGGCCCGCCTTCACCTGGTAAGTGTGATACTGGACGTAGACACATGATGTCATTCATCTTCTACCTGCTAATACAGTTCAGCAGGCATCTCAAACTGATATAACTTGGTGGCCACTGGTGAGGAGATCTTCAGCTGAGGTGGCCCATTTTAAAAAAAAAACAATACAAGGATAATCCTAACAGCCAGCATTAAAATGGGGGGGGGGGTCACCAAGCTTAATGCTGATTAGTTATCTATTTTTCATGGAGACCTATCACTTGATTGGTGGGCTGGATTTAATGATCATTAAAAATCACATCATGGGCTCGACCGGTGCAATGTGATTTCATATAATAGAAAATAAATTCCAGCACCAAATAATAGCAATAAGAACATGATGTGGGTGGCTCAGTGGGTGGAACTGCAACTTCACCCCTCTAGGGTTGAGGGTTTGAACTCTGCCTCTGGCTCTGTGCATGAAGATTGCATGTTCTTGCTGTGTTATATGGGTTTTGAATAGGTTCAAACTAAAGATCATGCAGCAGATTCAATCCCTTCTTAAAGCACAAACAACATAACAAATAGCAACTGAAATTGACTGAAACTAAAAATAGGTAATGTAGAGCAAACACCAAACCCAAATATTAACATTATATAAATACATTTGGTTATACAAGTCTTATACCAGGAAATGAAGAGTTAGACAATCACATTACCGTCAAAGTCAGGCTGGTGTCCTTGTATCCTACTTTAGCTTGGCTTGTCATGTTACCACGGAAGATAGAGTTGATGGAGTTGAAGAAGCTCGATTTTCCAGCTTGAATCTGACCAATTAGAAGAATCCGAGCCTGAGGCACTGAATCAATAGTGGGCTTGTAATCATGCAGGTATTGCTTGAGATCAGTTCGTGTGCTAAAAGAACAAACATTGGAATTGGAAATGGGAATTAGTCAAAATTCATAAGGAATATAAACAATCCCATATCTAATAACATATTACTATAGCTTCCTTTTATCTCATTAGCTAATTGTTACTGAAACCAGTTAATGAAGTATCATACATTCTTCCCCACTGCATCCTTATCTGATGAAAATGTGACTGTTCCCCCTCGTGTATTGTGTTCACTACAAGTAGGAACTGTTCGCTCAACTAAGTGTGTGGGGCATACAGCAATAAACTTTGCTGAATGGTTGACAAGTACAGGCGCTAACTTGGAAGATACGTGGAAGTACTGGAAACAGAAGTAGTTGGTGAAGAAAAAATTGAGCAGATGAAATTATTTTTGTATCTCAGTTACATTAGATGCACTTTTGCATGTGTCTGCATGTTTCTGCAAAGGAAAACTTAGTTCCATAACCGATGTACTTCTGTCTAATATTGCCAGTGCCCAGGGTGAAACTTGCTGGCACTCATAAGTGGGATAATGGTACATTTAAGGAAAATCTTAAGGTGTTTTTATCCAACCAGCCCCTGAATCTTAAGAATCAGAACCGTTATTGTACCATGAAATTTGTGTTGGCACAGCTTGCTACAAGTGGAAACACCATGACACCAGACAATTAACAATTATGGCATAAGCAGACAGATTAAATATGGTAAAAGACAGATATCAGCTAGTGTCCTAACCCACAGGGCCACGCACAGCCCAATGTTTATAGGTGTGTGTGTGCTTGCGGGACGGAGGAGTTACAATTCTCATGGTTGTTTTAAAAATATATGCATAAAATTATATGATGATAGTGAAAAAAGCTGTTAATTATATCTGATAAAAATAGGCTTCATACCTTTTGCTCCATGTAACATTCCTCCATGGGACATTAAGGACCTCGGGTTTACGCTCCTCTGGTAAGGGGGTACTGTTTTCAATTCCCATTTTCCAAACACCAACTTCCAGACCTGTCCAATTAAAAAAAAATGTGTTCTCCTTATGCTCAAGAGCAGATTATTTATTTGTATTAATGAATGTAGCAGATTCTTTAATCTAAAGTGACACATTTGAGAAAGCAGGGTCCACCTGCTGCTGGAGAAACTGGGGTCTTGATCAAAAATCCAACAGGGAAAATACAAAGTGTATGACACAGAGTTCTAAATGGCTGAGCCACACACCATTCCATAGCTCATGTGAAGCAACCATTTTAACAATATTCCTTATACATACTCAATATGTCTTATCCTACAAGTTGATTTGGAGCAAGACAAGGAACCGTACAGAAATAGACCAATACATTACACAGGAATAAACCAAGAAACATAAATGTTAAATGCTACATATTTTGAGGCCAGCCTCAAACCCTTGCAAAAGTACAAAAATAGGCAGCTATAAAATCAGGCTCACCAAATAATGCATTCCCCTTTAAATATTCTTTTGAGACAATTTAGGCTCAAATGATGCATGGGTATTAGGCATTCTTATCTTAACAATGTAACAGTTTCCTATATGCATCACTCATCTCGGCTGAAGAAAGAGGGAGATAGGAACTAACTTACAGTATACGCTGCTGCGAAATTTGAAATTCCAGCACAATTCTAAATTTTGAAATTATTTAAACGATTTTTAATTTATTGGACATGCACCTTCACATCTTTTAAAATTGGCATCTTGAAGGTTTGTAAGTAGAGGATTTTCTATATTCTATAACAGGGGCAGCCAATCTTATCCGCAAAGGGCCAGTGTGTATGTAGGTTTTTGGGATAACCTGTAGGTCAGCTGTTCAAACCCAGGTGTGAGGATTCAACCAATCAGTCCTCTAATTAGTAATCTAATTAGGGAGGTGCAGCGAAAACCCGCATACACACCGGCCCTTTGCGGATAAGATTGGCCACCCCAGTTCTATATTTATGGATGTCATTGACATCAGTTTTGATTTTTTTAAACAAAAAATGGATATATACAGGCCAAAGTATGGTCCATATTTCTAGAATATGTTTTTGTATAAATATTTGTTGTGAGCAAGGGCCAATCCCAGCTAAAGATGTCTCAAAAAAGATATAGTGTAACAGGACTTCTAACAAAACCATTATGTGAACAAGTTACAAGTCATTTTATAGTCACAGACATTATGTTTTTCACTTGGTAATTCATAAATACTCTAATGTAGAGGTTAAAACATTTTGTTTTGTCACATCTATTTTTCGCTCCATAGTTCATAAATATTTTGGTGTAATATTGCAGAAATTCTCATTTCAGGTTTATCATACATAAGCTGGGATAAAATGACTTGCTATAGGCCTAATTTCAAAATGAAGTAATTCACAAGTTATATTATATTATAAGCTGTTTTAAAGTAAATGGTTCGTCAAAGGGATTCTTGTATACACTCTGCCCTCTGCATCCGCAGATTAAAAATTTTCAAACTAACATACAAATAAACAAGCACAAAAATAAATAAATAAAGTTTCAAAAAGCAAGACATGAATTTTCCGCTCACTAAGTCTCATGCTGAAACCACGTGAATGAACTGGTGTGTCAGGGTCTGCACCTGTCTGTCCCAGCCTTTCAAGTCTCCTCCCCGTTTGGCCAGCAGATGTTGCTGGTCATCCTCCCCTCCCCATTGTCAAAGTCCTCAATGTGTTTTCCTAGCTCCCCAGACTGCTGCATAGCTCTATAGGCTGAGTTTACAACTACACTGCTCAAGAAAATTAAAAGGAACGCTTATTAATCAGAGTATAGCATAACGTAAACTAAACCTCTTGGATATTCATCTGGTCAGTTAAGTAGCAGAGGGGGTTGTTAATCAGTTTCAGCTGCTTTGGTGTTAATGAAATTAACAACAGGTGCACTAGAGGGGCAACAATGAGACGACCCCCCAAAACAGGAATGGTTTAACAGGTGGAGGCCACTGACATTTTTCCCTCCTCATCTTTTCTGACTAGTTTTGCATTTGGCTACAGTCAGTGTCACTATTGGTAGCATGAGGTGATACCTGGACCCTACAGAGGTTGCACAGGTAGTCCAACTCCTCCAGGATGGTGCATCAATACATGCCATTGCCAGAAGGTTTGCTGTGTCTCCTAGCACAGTCTCAAGGTAGGTTGTGTGGGGCATGCCAGGGGCTCATGCTGAGGTGTACCATGTGGGCTGGTTTGACATGATTGCTTACATGCCCCCGGGCTGCCTGCCTGGGATCCCCCTGCCACTTCACTGACTCACTGGCCAAATGGTGGCCTCATCTTTACCACATGACCTCCACCACTCGGGCAGGCATCTGCACACAATCCCTGGCTGCCCTAGCTGCAGGTGGCGAATTAGCACCCTGCAGTGCTGCCCGCACTGCCATCTCCCTCTCCATTGTTAACTCCAGGGCATCAGGCAGGGTCCGCGGGCGAGCGAGCTGCGTGTTGAAACGAAGATCCACCGGAGAAAGAGCCCTGACGAACTCGTTGCAGGCTAGTTCCTTCTGCACATCCGGCGGCATGTGTGCGTAAGCTTGCCTGGCTAAGCTTTCAACATCATTAGCCAGGGATCGCAGAGATTCCCCTGCGAATCTCCAACGGTTAAGCAACTCAAACCGAAGGAGCTCAGAGTGGTAGCACTGCCCGAAATGTCACCTGAGCACACCGACCAAGGTGTCGTAGTCAGTCGGGTCCAGCAACAGCAAGCAGGACAGCACATAATCGCTTAAACAAAGGACAAACTGGAGAGCTTTCTGTTCCAGTGTCCAGCCGCTCACCTGTGCTAACAGTTCGAAGTGCGCGTGGAAAGCTTCCCAGTCTGATTTACCGGAATACTTCGCCGTTTTTACTCCAACTACCTTATGCACTCCACGGGCGCAGCCATTATTATTTACTTCTTCACCGACGCATTGAATCTCCCCTCCGGCTGGTGACATGCCCCCCAGACAAGGCACGAAATGGTGGCTAACTTCAGGGCCAGTGACAGTGCACAAACATGGCTCCCTCTTGACCACTGCAGATGGGTGCGCCACGGCAGTATAGGCATACCCGCGGTCGTCCTCCTCGACCTTAATATGGACTACAGCAGCGAAACCCAGCTTGCTTGCAATGGCAGTTTTACTTCTGACAGCACTGTAAAATTCCTGTTATGGGAATGAGGAAGTAACCGAAAACAAACTTTATTTGGCTGTTGTGGGCCAAAGCCACTGGGGGTGGGGCTCGATGGCGAGCGCCTGGTGGCCAGGCCTGCACCCATGAGGCCTGGTCGGGCACAGCCCGAACAAGGCACGTGGGTCCCCCTTCCAATGGGCTCACCAGCTCCTTCCACTCCTCCCACACTCTCTCCCCCCGATGGGTGCATGCCCACAGAAAACATCTGTAACACAATTCCTAAACACGCTACAATATTAATATATATGTTGGTATATTTCTACGTATCTGCATGAGTTGACACGGTTTAAGAACAACGGAAGCTCAATTCCACACAAAAACACCTCAATATCATTACACTGGACTTTTCACAGAACCATCAATTGAACCAGATATGGATTTTGCTACATTTTGTACGCTGATGAAATATATGTTGGCCTCTATTTGTTGGACAAACTATGACCGTCGCAATGCAGATCATTGTGAAAGTGAAAGTAGGAGTAGAATAAGTTTTTATAGTTACAGACAGGATGTTTTTCACTATGCAGTTAATCAATATTTCAAAATAGGAGTTAAATGTGTAGTCACAGACAAAATGTTTTTAATTTCACAGTTCACAAATATTTCTTATTGTATTAATTCTTATTCCAGAGTTACCGTATACTTCAGTTGATATCAAATGCTGTGTAATAGCCTAATTTAAATACAAAGGTATTTACACCTTGTCTTAGAAGTTGCTTTAAAGTAAAGAGTTAGTCAAATGTATTCTTGTATATTTATATCTGGTATTTGCCTATTAAATAAACTCGTTTGCATTACTTATAATTTTTTCCGGTGTAATGCATTTTGCCAACATCAGTTTTGCTTCTTTGCAAGGAAAAAATATATACAAAATATATACAAGTACCATTGGTACCTATGTAACAGTTATAAAAATCCTACAACAAGTTATTACATTAATACATATGTTAAAATATTTCTACACATCTACATGAGTTCCCCAGGAATGAGATTGTCGGAGAACAGCAGTAGCTGCCAATTCCAGGCAATTAAGACTTTTGAAAAAAAACATAGTTTAGCCCGAATTTCAAAAAAACCCTAAATGAGTTACTTACGTTTTGTGCGCAATTGAAATATACAAATATTTTTGAACAAACACCTTTTCCAAAGGCTCTTCCACTACTGCAGTTTATACAGACTCCTGTGAAAGTGAAAGTAGGAATTCAAAAGTATTTTATATAGTTACACAGATAACGGTATTCAAGGTAAATTATAGGTACACTTGGGATTTAAAAGGTATTTGCTTGGTTGAACAAGTCATTATTTCAATACAGATGTGGAAATCCAACTACACATCTACATGAGTTCGCTAAGAATGACGTGATTTGAGAATAGCAGGAATTTAATGTTCCACCCAAAAATGCCTTTAAATATATATATGTATATAGAAAGACAAAATTAATGAGTTATGGGTTTTACTAGCCTACATATACTTTTGAAATGCACATATATTTGCTAGACAAACTAACCTTTTCCAAACGACCCTCAAAAGCTGGTTTTCCAGGCGATTGTGAAAATGAAAGTAGGAGTTCAAAGCATTTTATATACGCCTAGTCACATGGATAACGGTGGCCACGCTGAGGTTCATAAATATTTATTACCATGCCCAGAGGGTTCTCAGCCCCTTAAACAGACACGAACTATGCAGCCGTCCAGGGAGAAGGGAGAAACACACCGGGGTGAGAAGTGGGGAGGAGAAACGGGACGACCATATCTGGCATATTAAATTAACTGGTTTGTGTTCATTATCATTGGGCACAGGCTTAATGGATTTCACCAGCATCAGTTTTTCTTATGTAGCCCCTCAGGATGCTTTGAATATCTTCAGTGTTCAACCCTCCATTTGCTGTGTGTTCCAATCCCATGGTGTCAAACAGGAGGAGAGAGGCTGTCCACCTCGAGCCGCCCTCACCTGGCAAGTGCGATACTGGAAGTAAGACACAGAGTGAGACAACAGGGGCTGACCCTGACAGGTTTGTGTGCTAAATGAACAGACATTGGGCTTGGAAATGGGAATCAGTCAAAATTCATTAGGAATATAAACAATCCCATACCCAATAACATGTTACAACAGCTTCCTTTAGGTCTCATTTTCCATTTGCAAATGAAACCACATAATGAAGTATCATAATGAATATATCTTAAAATAGCTACACTGTCATGACCACCGAGATGAAGGATTCAGGGAGCAGGTGTGGTTGGAGAAACAAAATGTTTATTGAACTGGATGAACAAACTGGGAATTACCGGGATCACGGTGGATAAAAACAGGAAGACCCAGGCAACAAGAAGGTATGACAACAATGACTGGTCTGAGAAACACAAGACTGAGAAGCACATTTATACAAAACTGATGAGGCAGCTGGAGTGATTAACATAAGGGTAGAAATGAGAGGTAAGACAAATGAGTGACAGGTGTGGCTTGTTAAGGCCACATCAGGGAGGAGATGGGATGGTCAGGTAGACGTGAGAGGCCGGACGTGACAGTTCCCCCCCTCCTGAAGCATGCCTTCTGGGAACAAAGGACGAACACAGTTTCACAGTTATATATATCTGTTCACAGACTGTCTATTTTGCCTTTCTTAGGGAAGCTTTGGATTGGGTTTGATTTTTATTTAGTTTGGCTTGGCTTGGGAGGGAATGCCACCTTCTGGACATTTGCGTGGATGTAATTTCTCCGTACTTCCCAGTCTAGTGAAACGTACGGCATTGATCACAAGTTTTGGACGCAGCTGAATACTGGCAAACTCCCATCTTAAGCGCTTAAGCTCCGGACATTATTTGTCTGTAAATTGACGTTTATGTTGGATTGTTATTCCTTAGTTGAATTACGTTAAATTCCGTAGTCTTTTTTTTTTTTTTTGAAGGATATCTGAGATTTATATTCTTAGCAGTTAAGTTATGCTAGCTTGCGTGATTGTGTTTGTAGGCTAAAGATAATGGCAAAGATATACGTAACAGATGTATTAATCCTGTACTACGTATTTTATGTTAAATTTATGTACCTTTCTATTGTATTGCAGTTTTACAAAATGATGAGGGTGATTATGATGTTGAAAAATCACACAGGAAAAGGATGCCTTGCGGAGTTATTGGGATTTCAACCACCCATTCAAGTGTTAGCTAGCTGTCTAGTCCTGCTGGCTGGTTGGCAACGCAGTGCGACGGCAGCATACTGTCTATTTGATATCCGGTGCTGGATGGCAAAAAATGTCCTTATGTTAAACACAGAAAAAACAGAAGTACTGGTAATTGGTCCCAAGGCTGCACGAAATAAAGTTTAACCACCTCAACATCGGTGGCCTTCCTACACAACCTAACACAGTGGTTAGAAATCTTGGTCTTCTAGTTGATTCAGATTTATGTTTTGATGCTCACATAAGAAGTATTACTAGAACTGCGTTTTATCATCTACGGAACATAGCCAAGCTTTTGAAACTTTGGAAGATGCTCTCCCTTCATGATGCAGAAAAATTAATACATGCCTTTATAACTTCCAGACTGGACTACTGTAATGCCCTCCTTTCTGGTTGCCCGCCTGGATATTTACATGAACTTCAGCTGGTGCAGAATGCGGTAGCCAGAGTTCTCACAAACACTAAAAAATTTGATCAGTTAGACATATAGTGTGAGGTGTAGAGCTGGGTGGGGATCGGTGCCATTGGCTTTGGATAAACTGAATTGACAGTGCTGTCGCTCTAGCTTCACAATCGCTTGTGGAATTGGAGTGCTGTCATTTCAGGGACTCCCCATGCCTGCATTCCCACTTTTGCTGCCATAACCATATCTGCCAGAGCTTGCACATTACACTTCATATTGAACTCACCTAACTATTAGCACTGCCTATAGTCTCCCCTACTTTGACTAATTGCACATTATATTTCCCCTTCTCCTACTGGGGTATGCTGCCTGGAGACCCCAAATTATCAAGATATCCTGCACATCCAGCTACATGCGACATCTCCACTACCCATGACGTCCTTGCATCCTGCTCGCCATTCTGCCTGTGTCATCCTCCATGTATGCCCAGCTGCCTTACTACTGGTTGCCCGGCGATCTGAAGGAGTGTCAGCACTGGCTTGTCATCACCTCCCTGCTCCCCGGTTGTGACTCAAATCTTATGACTTAGACTGTGTGACTTTGCACTTAGCCATCTCTCCAATTTGACTTTCCCTGCCGGCCCCAGGAGAATGGGCTCCCCCTTTGAGTCTGGTCCTTCCCAAGGTTTCTTCCTCCTAGGGAGTTTTTCCTTGCCACTGTAGGAATTATTAGCTCAGGTAATTTTTAATATCTCCACCAATATGTTTGAAATTAATTAAAGTTTAATTAATTATTATTTAATGCTGATTATTAACCGATTGTTATGACGAATGGTCGGCTCCTCCAAATTCAATTGAAATATCCCCGTAAATCTGTTAATGTGAGACTTAATGAGATCCACCCGGATCTTAATGTGAAACGGGATTGACTAATTACCAATATCACTTATAACCTAGGTTAGAAGGCTCGTCCAGCTAGCTGCATCATCAGGTAATGTAAACAATTGGTAGCGAAGCTCCCCTCACGGCCGATGAGAGAGAGTCTTGCGATGTTTCAGGCGAGTTTGAGGTTCAGAGCGTGTAGCAAGATCGCACAGAGGCAGGAACTTAGTGTGAGTACTCAATGACGGAGGCTGAAGTTGTGTAAAAGACATGCATTTATTCCTAGCTAACACTACAACTAACATAAGACAGACATTACACCTACACCACCTAACACAAACAACAAACACGAAATAACGGAATAAAACAAACGATGTAA